CCTTGCTTGTACCTTCACCTATATATACTCTTGCTCTTGCTTGCTTGACTCTTGTATATCTCTATATATGATCTTGCATGTGAACTGGCATTCTGGCCTTTGCACTTGTGCTCGGAATGTGTGGTGACTTTGTGATCCACCCTGAGCTTTGCTTTGCTTTGCTTGACTGGTCTTGTGACCCCTTGCTCTCCCCACTTTGCCTATGGGGGTGTGTCAGACATATATTCATATATGTTAGTATTGTTGTTAGGCTGTAGTGGGGTTCACTTTAGAGGGTTTGTTTCCTTAGGTTTTGTACCCTCGACATTTTCCCTTAGTCAACTTTTTCACTCTAAACTTTCACACTCTTGTGATCTCAGAGATCCGGAACTGCAAGGATCTGGAGAGGTTCGAGATGGAGCGCTTGGTAGGGCTCAATCGCGGATGGTCAGTGGCGACCTTCGAGATTGAGGGTCATCCTCCACAACGCCTCCTCTTCCAGAACTCTGCGCAGGTAAGCCGGCCGTGGATGCGTGGCTGCGAAATGCAGATTCCGCCTCCATTTGGTCCATGTGTGCGATCCGACCCTTCCCCGCTCCCGCCACTAAACCCCTGTTTGGTTCTCCCCCGCTCTTGATGTCGTACTCCAGGCTTTTGCTGAACTGTTTGGGCACACCAACAACGCGCCCGGCTTCAAGCTCAAGGCTCGTGTCGATGAGGACCATGGCACAGGCGAGCGTCGCTATACCACGCCAGAAACTGGAACGTGGTGGAACGATGCTCAGGTATGTAAATACCCCGCTGCCACCCAAAACCACACGCGTGCGCCGTCCTCCGTTGACGCGCTGATGTGTAGGGAGCATCTTCAGTGCGTCATGTTAGTGGGGAGTGTTATGTACCATGCTTAATCCGCCAGGCGACACATTACCTTGGTGGTGTTTGACCGTGGGGGTTTTCCGTCTTTGTCGTGCATGCAGGAACACTTCGGATGGTCCGAATTCGTGGGGGGTATCATCCTATATTCGGATGTGACGCACATGAGCAACAACGGCCGGAAGAAGGCGTGGCCGCTCATGATGACGCTTGCCAACATCTCCCAGGCCAAGCGATGGGGGAAAGCCGGCCACAAGCTACTTGCTCTCCTTCCTATCCCCCCTTCGGCAATGTCTGCTGTTGAGAAGGTGATGCTCTTCCAGCGATGCGTCCTCACCGTGCTGCAGCCGCTTCTGGATGGCATGGACAGGTCCGTACTCGATTTTCGTCATGCTATGTCGTCACCGTGTGCACAGCATAGTGTGCGCAGCGCTTTTGTATGTTGCATTACCCTTTGCCCCTCCTCGCTGATGCACAGAGTCGTCATGGCTGTTGACGTTACCACTCTACCCGTTCCTTGCAGCGGCTTCCGTCTCAGGGACCCTTTCGGGGATTGGCAAACAGTGCGGCCACTGCTGTACGCCTGGGTGTGCGACTACCCCGAGAGCGGCAAGATTAGTTGCACACTCTCGCATGGATCGCGGATGCCGTGCAGCATCTGCTATGCTGCAAAGGTGAGCAAACATGCCATGTGAACGCCTTCAGCGCCATCGTCATCTGACTGTCACATGACGGACCTCCTAATTTTTTCACCCTTACCAGTTCATCCCATCCCACCCCCCGTGCTACACCAGGAGCATTTAGTTGCTGTCAAGGCACGGAACACGCCGCGCACTACTGAACAGCAGCAATGGATCGTGAATGAGGCGGCTGGGTTGACATCAAGCCAGGCCGACCCATGCAAGACCTACTCGACCTACCCGGTTGAGGTGAGCGACCTGTCCACCGCGCTACTTTCCTGTCTAAGCACTCCGTGTTGAGAAGCCCTGGGGGAGATGTGCACTGCCATTGCACTGCCCCACATGTTGGCCGAGTCTCTCATATACCTTTCTCTACCATTCCCCACCACACCCCCTCCGCCAGTGTGTGCTCTGGAAATGGGATGTCCCAGGGACCGTGTGGGGCAATCCCTACCTCGTTATCATGCCTGACATCATGCACCAGACGGACCTAGGCATGATGAGCCACATTGTGGCTGTCGTGCGCAAGATGAAGAAGCGGCGCGTCAAGCAGATGGACAGGTCAGTGCCTTGGGGGATTACTTTCGTGTCAAGAACACTCCAATACGCACTCTCCTCCTACTTACATGCCCATGCATTTGTGCTGGCCTTGAACTCGGATGTATGCGCAGGCGCCTGTCCCTCATTCGCGACCGCACGCGCCTGAACCACCTGCGCCTGCCAGAGAGCGCCTACTTCGAGAGTGGAGCATGTGTCGCGGCCTATGAGCACAGGGCCGTCATGCAGGTGAGCAAGCCATGGTGCATGTGATCCTCGTGAGCGACAGCATGCACCATGCTGAAACAGGATGCTGATTCCAGGCTACAACACCCCCCCTGCTGCATCCTAGTACCCATTCTCCCGCTCTCATCAATTCCGCCCCCTAACCTGTTTGTTAATCGGCACACGCATGTCCCAACTACTCATGCCCACCTGCCGTCCTTAACCCTGAAATTTGCAGGTCATGGTGTTCGTATTTGCTGGCCTGCTTCGCCAGCCCCAGATGGATGCTGTTCGTGCCTATCTTGGCTGGTACCTCTTGTGTTGCCAGCCAACGGGGCACACCGAGCGGTCCCTGCGGGATCTCAAGAAGAAGACCTCCTGGTACTATTGACATGCATGTACAACCCTGGGGATTGCATGAATGCCTGGCCACGGCACCTAAGCTGTTGTAGTAACATATCTTCTGAGGTTGTTGCTGATAAACCATGATAGTATATCAAATAAAGTAGGCTGCAGTATGCTATAGTAGACTCTGATGTCCTTGCATGCTGTCAACTCCCACTCCCATCAGGCTGGTTGAGCAGTTGCAGGCTGCTTTTCCAAAGCAGCCATCCTCTTGGTGCCTTGTGAAAACCCATCTCATGTTGCACTACATCGACTCCATTCGCCGTGCGGGACACGTCACGGAATTCAGCACCAACATGTTCGAGCACTTGCATGGCCCGTTGGTAAAGAGGATCTATGGGCGGTCCAACAAGCGCAATGTAGATGGGCAGATTATGAAGTTCCATGCTAGGCGCATCCCGGACGTTGTGCCGGTGGACGATCCCCTTGGCCGGGACACTGCCATGCGGCAGGTAGACCTGTCTAGTGATTGAATTGCAAAGATATGCATGCATAATGTAATAAACTCGCCACTGTTCGTTGGCAGGCCATTGAGACAGGCACAAGGACTCTTATCAAAGAGTCCTACTTTCTCCCTGTGGAGTTACCAGAAGAACCCACCTCCACCAACTGGTTTGCAAGGAAGTGGGCCATGCAACACCCAGTTGCACAAGCTGCCCTCAAGGATGCGCTAGTACGTTATGCTGGATGCGTCCCTAAGATCCGAGTAAGTACTTCGTGGATCATACAATCATTTTTTTCTTGCCCCAAACCCTAAACTGATTACACACTGCAATTGTTATGCAGGCCCATGCATCGTTGGCCATCCCAGCGGCAGATGATGCCAGCTTCTCAAGAGTTTCTCACTTCGTTCGAGCGACCCCTGACTATTTTGAGAGGTCGTGGTACTCGGATGTTGCAGTGGAGGGTGTAAGGCATGGTCGGAGAGAGGAGTGGTATGCAAGGTTGCTCCTGTTGTTCCATACAAAAATACGTGGAGAGAGGGAGGAGCTAGCCTACGTTAGATATTGGAACGCAAGCGGAGAGGATGCTGCAACCGGATGCCTTCGCCTCAAGTGGACAACAGGAATGTACGCATACTCTGTGATTCCGATGGAAGCGCTGCTCCGTCACGTCCATGTGGTGAAGGCATTCCATCTGGACAGTACCTATCTCCTTAATAAGTATCATATGTGATGCATTTATATTGTAATAAAATGGCATGTTAAGTTATCCAGCACTCACATTTTACATAAGTCAAAACAAACAAAACCAATTACAAATGGATCCCAAATTTGGCACGATCCAAATAAACAACAATGTACCGGAGTCGCGGATTCGATTTAGACTCGGACAAATAAACGCGGTCCGAATTCATTCCGTGATTGGTCGCGCTTTTGTTTCGGAACTTCGCCAACCAAAACACCTGAACTGTACCCCCCTCCGAACCCCCTTTAAAAACCAAGGTTTTTTGTGATGTCACACTCAACTCTTCCCTCACCTCACCTCCCTTGCCATCATCACTCCCTCTCACTCTACCTGCCAATCCGCCTGCGTGCATCATCATTCTTGAGGAGACCCCCTTCTGGCGGCCGGAGAGATGTCAGCTTGGTCAGGGCAGTCAGCTGCTGCAGCCCATCATTTGTGACTGCTGTGCCATTCAGAGCAAGAAACTCAAGCCCTGTGAGCCTCCCCACATGCACCATGCCCCTGTATGTCACACCTTTGCATTGAAAAGGTTTAGCTTGTTGAGAGAGGAGAGGCCTGTCAAGTGCAGTAGACCGTCATCGGTGACAGTCGTACAAGCAAGAACAAGCTCCTTCAGCATTGCCAAGCTCCCCACACCCAGCATTCCAGCTCTTGTTATACCCTTGCTTGCGTAAAGGCTCAGCTGTCCGAGAGAGGAGAGACCTGTCAATTGCAGAAGGCCAGCATCTGTAACTGCCGTCCCATCTATCACAAGTACCTCAAGCCCTGTTAGCCTCCCCACATGGACCATGCCAGCATCAGTCACGTCCTTGCACCAATCAAGATACAGCGTTGCAAGAGAGGTCAGTGCTGTCAAGTGCAGTAGACCAGCATCGGTCACCTTGGTCCTCCAGAGTTGGAGGTCCTTGAGACTGGTCAAGGACCCAATGCCTTCCAAGGCACTGTCTGAGACGTCTGTGCCATGGAGTTCTAGCCACTCCAGCCGTGGCAGCCTGTAGAGGTGCTTGATGCCCTTTGCACTGAAGCCTGAGCTACATGTTAAGTCAATGCGCGTCAGATGCGTCATGGTGGACACATGGGAGAGCATGGCGTCTGAGAGGCGGTGGAGACTGTTCAGACGCAGAGAGGTATCTTGTGATGCAGACTTGATTGCCTGGAAGAAAAGGAGAAGGGGGAATGAAGAACAAGCAAGGTATGAGGTTGAGACTGGGCTTCTGTGACGCTGCCATGATTACCTGAAAGAAAAGGATGAAGTGGGAAAACATGGCGAAGGAATGGATAACCATAGCAAGCAATGCATTAACTGTGTGCTACAATTCACTCAACACTCACCTCCCATGCCATCTTCTGATCGCCTTCACTCTCCCTGACTTGCAGCTCAACATCCATCTTCAGATCTTGCATCATCTGCCCTTCCTCACAGGCCGCCGGTTCCTCCACGGTACGTGACTCATTCAACTCCTGCACCTCCCTTCTCCTTTCCTCCTCCCGTGCAACATCCGCTGTGATTTCGTGCTTTCTCTTTCTATTCTTCCCTCTCAGCCCTATTCCACCCGACTCCTGACTACCCTCTGCAAGCTTCTCTTCCTTAGCGTCCTTGCGATTCCTCAATTCTCCCTTAACCACTGCCAACTCGCATTCAACTGCTTCCAACTTCCCCTTAACCACTACCAACTCCCCCTTAACTGCTGCCAACTCCCCCTGCACTGCTGTCAATGCGTGCCGCATGTCCAGCACCTCCTCTATCACTGCTGCCAGCGCCGCCTCTTTCATCATCAACTCATCCACAGCACTCGTCACTCCCTTATCAGCCATATCATCCACCCACTCCCCTCAAGCAACCCTGCTTCAATGTCTGACTGCTCCCTTCGTTCAACTGTCTTAACAACTGCAGATTGGCAAAAGCAGATACGTACAGCCCTGGTAGGGCAGGGTTACGTCATAGGAGGAAAGGGAAACGTAAAAAGAAATGAGGGAGCAGGGGCGTGGTCAGTGCACACACGAACGAGACCAATTCCACGGGCATGAGGGATGAGGCAGTGATGGGAGAACGAGAGCAGAGAAGGAGCAGAAGAAGAGGGAACCTGATGACAAGTTGTGGGAGATGAAGGGATTGTGCCCATGCCTTGCTTATATCAAGCAGTGAAGGAAAGAGAGTCTGGCACGATGACGGCCAAACCAGAAGAGGCCAGGACGAGATGATGAAGAGAATATGTCAGGAAGGGCAAGACAAACCAGCAGGGAGTGTGAAAAAGGGACACCACAAAACAAACATTGCAGCAAGGCGAAAACAAATGCAGTGGGTAAAGTGAGGGGTGGAGACGCAAAGGGTGGTTCACATTGGGGAGGCACACAGTGGTGAAATCAGGGAAGAAAGACTAGAGTGGGGGAGATGATGAGATTAGAACGGGGAGAGTTATGAGCTGGAAAGATTAACTAGCAATGAGAATGAAAGATTACACTTGGAGGGTGTGGGGGGAGAGGGAGGGGGGAGGGGGGTGGGGAAGGGGGGGAAGCTATGAGCTGGAAAGACCAGAGTGGGGGAGAGGCATGTGCTAGACATGCTAGAGCGGGGGAGAGGCATAGGTTAGACAGGTGTTGGGCAGAGAGTCAGAGACCTAATCTGGAAAAGGATTATCTCTGGAGAATGGCCACTGGCCTGGGGACCAGAAACTGTTGCCAGTCGCTGCTCCGCTGCCTGTCCTTATGGAATTTCAGGAAATAAGTTGTTGGTGGTGACAATTGTCAGGGTAGGTGTGAGGATAGGTGCCGGTAGCTGGAGAAATTGACTGGAGAGAGGAGGCAAGTTGAAGGGACTGTAGGAAGATCTAGGCCATATGTATTGCTGTAATGGTGTAATTTATCCATTATTTTTTTTTGGTTATTATATGAAGAGAATTAGTTTTGTTAGAACATACTTGAGGAAAAACATTTCTACCATGCCAACCATATGTTGGTTGGGCATAGAGCGCAAAAGTTCTTGTTAGAAGTCTGATACCATGATACGGTATTGGTTGGTTCCTGGTCACTAGAGGAATAGCCAAACAGCCAACAAACCAGGGCCTCAGATATCAGGAAAAAAACCCTGAAATTCCTGATTTTGGCAGCCGATTTTCAAGCTACCCTGAAAAGTCAAAGTTGGGATTTTTGTAGGACTGATCTTTCAGCGTTTTTTTATTGGCCACACTGATATTTCAGGTTTTTTTTCCGTTGTACACTGATGCCACTACGTTGTAACGAAACCGACACTGAAAGCAAATCTCACCTGTCCCATGTCACCTCGACCGCAATTGCAGGGAATCTCAGATTCCCTGTATGTAGGCACCCCGTGGCGGGACCACCCTTAGAAATGTTGCCTTAGGTTCACGTTGAGAGGTGTTTTTTTGGCGGGGCGCCTCACACCATTGGGCCGTTTCGCTGCAGCATCCAGTGTTGGCGAATCCGAACGTGGCAGACATGTGGTGCTGGCGGGCTGCCAAGGTTCCTGCCCCGTACCCATCACGTGCGATGCGTTAGGTTTGGGCTGTGCTGGCAAGCACCGTGCCATCCTCCACGCCGCTCAACCCATCCACCGTTTCTGCCATCCAGGGGCCCCTTCTTCTCCAAGCTTTGCATCTGAAACTGGATTTCCCTCGTTCACCCTAGTGTACCAAGAGGCAGCCAGCCGAGGCCTGTGTTTTGCGTTGGCAATCCCTTGCCTCTCCAGCTGTCACTAAGTTAGATGCGAGGTCGTCCGCGCTGCTTACCATGGTGGAGCAGCTTGACGGCACGGAAACAAGCGGCGAACACGCCGGTGATGCGCATCGCCAGCCGCATGTAGACCGTACCGAAGCTGTGACCGGCATTGATCTGTTGTTTTCGGGCTTAGCGCAGGTCGACGTCAATGAGAAGCAACCAGAACTCGAGCCGCCAGACAAGATACCGTTCGAGCACATAGATGAGGAGCCGCTTTGTGCATCCCCGTCAGCGCCAGTCATCGAGCAAGACAGCTCACCGCCTCCGACTGAAAATACCGCTCCTGAACGAGTGGCCAACAAAACCGGCCGATACACGCAGTCAACGCTGCGATGGTTTCCTAAGGCCGCAGTCGACGGAGCTACCGTGCCTTCGCCAACCGACCAACGGTCGTCGCCCGTGATAGCCAAAACGCAGGAGTCACCATGAGTTCCGGGTCCTTCGAAACACTCTGGACGCGACGCGCTCTACGCCGAGGCTCTGTATAAGTACAAGACTGAGTGGCTGGACAGGTTTGAGTGGCTAATTCTACTGCGGCAATCTTACGGTCTCCCTGCTTTCAAATGCTCTATTTGTACCGAGCATGCAGGTTATGCTGGAAAGTGCGGGAAAGGCGGGAACGGCGCCATAGACGTACAGACGCAGGCGTTCAAGAGGCACGCATCAACGACCAAGCACAAGGAGGCGGTCAAGAACCAGGCGAAGCTTCTTGCTGAAGCTGGCCGACAGCCGCGTATCAACGGTGACAACCTCGCTCGTAACACCGAGAAGGAGTGGGTCATCAAGCTGTGTGACTCCCTCATCTTCGTGACCAAGCAAGATGCACCCATAGAATTATGGGTGAACCTCGTTCGCTACCTCGCAGAGCAGAAGGTTCCGGGATTTCCCGCGAAAGGATACGGAACCTACTACACCACGTGAGTAAACGCATACTAATCATGTTCGTCATGTTGTGTGTGTTCAACATTCATACTCGCTCTAACCGTGATTCACATGCGCCACAGGTACGGCTTTGGCCAACTAACACAGTCAATCGCGACATGGTTACATACAACGCAGCTCCAGCACATCCTTGCGAGCCCGTACATCGGACTCACTAGTGACGAGAGCACAGACAGGTGTCGAGGAAAACACATGATCCTTTTCGTCACCTTCATCCGTGAGAACCGACCGGTCACTGAGTTTCTGGCCCTCCTGACTGTGGAGAAGTGCGACGCAGCATCTCTCCTCTCAGTGTTTCTGTCTCACCTGCAGGCTCTCGGCATCGACCTACACTGGATCGCTGGTATAAGCACCGATGGGGCGAAGGTGATGATGGGGCGGAAGAACGGCCTCCTCGTACGGCTTCGCCTCCGCATACCGCATCTCGTCTCAAGCCACTGTGTTGCCCACAGGTACATTTATTGTTGCACCATGCTAAAGCTGCTTCTCTTCATCATCCTATGCTAATATCTCGTGTTGCTATTTTGTGTTGTGCTTTGCCTGCAGGGAGGCACTCACAGCAAAACATGCAGCGGCGGCCCTTCCCGAGTTCGACATGGTTGACAGCCTCATCCGTCAACTCGCAGAGCATCTCGGCCATTCCGGCTCATGGCATCAACTGTTTCTTGAGCTTCAAGAACTCTTCACGTCCACGAACCTGGAGCTTCAGGGGATTCACCAGGTCCGCTGGCTCTCCAGGGGTGACGCTGTTCTGCGTCTGGTGACCGTCTTCTCCGCGATCATCGTCATGCCGTACGAGTGGGACGAAACGCTGTACGAGCTCGCCACGAGCTACAGGTTTCACTTCCTCTTGTACTTCCTAGCCGACGTGCTCGAGCAGCTGAACATCCTGAACAGGTCTTTCCAGCAGCGAGAGGTGAGCGACTTGTCGTTTCAGTCTGTGCTGCACTTGTCATGATGTCTTGTTATTGTATGTGTGGCTTCTGTGTGTGTATGTCAATGCAGTTCTATTGTTGACGGTTAAACACAACACTAATCGTCTGAGAAATCACCCCCTGGCTCGACTTCCTTGTGTCCCTCCATGTTATTTCTGTCGCCCAAACATAGTTTGACATTGCAGGTGTGCACGCGCAGATCAGGAGAACCATCTCTTACCTGGAGACCCGCTACGTCGACTGCGGCGATGAGTTTGGGGGCGGGTTGAGCGCGCGCCTGTCCCCGTTCATCATGAAGTACGGGCCGGACAGTGACAACCCCAAGGTGACGGTGCAAGGAGTGGACTCTGACGGTCGGCCCACTAAACACACGTTCAAACTGCACGAGAACCCGAGCGAGGACTACCCAACGTTGGGAAATCACTACAACTGCGTGGATCTCTGCACCTCGTTTGCAGAGACGCTCGTGCGCAACCTCACCAAGAGGTTTGCAGACTTGGACTCCCTTGTGGGAGTCAGGCTGTTCATGCCCGATGAGTACCCGCCAGAGAGAGGAGAGCGGCACAAGCAGTGTCTCGAGTGGCTCATGTCACTCGTCAAGCTGTTCAGGGCACTAGAGACAGACTACATCCTTCTTGGTACATCTTGATTGATCGTGCACCTGTGCTGTACTAAACACGCATCGTGTCAACATTTTGAACATTAATGCCTGTGGAGGTGTCTGCCCCGTCGGTCAATCAGACTAACAATCTCTTTGCTTTGTCTGGCAGGGATCGACAAGCGCCGGGCGATCAAAGAGCTGCGAGCTTTTTGCCCCATCCTCGCAGGTGCCCCGAAGACCGAGAGAAGCTTCCATGCCGGCCTCACAGCGATGCTGACGACAAGCGACTGGACGACTAGCTACCCCAACCTTGTGCATCTCTGAGTGGCTGTCGCCGTACTACCACTGAGCACAGTGGAATGTGAGCGCGGGTTTTCTCGCCAGAACATCATCAAATCGTGGCAGCGTGGGAGCCTCAAAGACGCCCGCCTTGAAGATCTGGTCACGATGTCGCGACTCGAGTACGACCCCGACTACAACGAAATCGTGCAGATGTGGCGCGGCTACAAGAAGCGCCGGCCCTTTGGCAATGTGGCAGCAGCTCCAGCAAGGGAGGGGCAGGGTAGTGGCAGGGGAAAGGAGGCACTTCAGGAGTGGGAAGAAGAGCCAAAGGCTCAGGGGGGTGATGACGATGTCTCTGATTCCGTCGATGATGCATGCATGACCCCTATTAGAGACTATTAGAACTAGAACTCTTCTTGTGACTATTTATCTAAAAGTAGGACTTTAATAGAGAGTCAGTGTTTTTGCAAAAGGTACACTGATGCATCAGGCTTTAAAAATTTGCAACACTAACATTTCAGCCTTTTTTTTTTTTGGACACTGAAAATCAGAGTTAACACGCAGGGGGACCCTGATGGGGTGACGACCCTAAAAGTGAATCTGAGGCCCTGCAACAAACCTTCTACAACCACTAACGAATCATGCCAATTCGTGACTAGCACGTACAGCTACATTATTCCACACATTCGTTTCAGGAGTCCTTTTTTTATTACTGCCAGCACCCCTTCAGGTGATCCCAGATCTTGTGTAGTCGTTGCAACCTCTTCCGCAGCCGAGGCCAAATCTTCATAAATCGATTCCAATTCCACTTAGTGGACACCAGTTCTGCCCTTGTTGTCTTCACTACATCCACCACCTCTATTGCCTCATTCACCTCTTCCATCTCTCGCCTCCCGTCCTTGAATTCTTTTTTTCTTTGCACTCAAATAAATTCAGTAGTTCAGCTGTAGTGGAAGCTGCAGTGGAAGGAACAGGGCGATACGGGAGAGAAACGTGGATGATGGGGGCACTGTAGCAGAAATAAAGTGAATGAAATTATATTGGGCGAAAAGAAACAAAAGAAACATAATGAAGATGATAACGAGTGTTAGAGAAATGCGAATATTTTATGGTGGATGATTGGTGGTGCTGTGCATGTGCAAGACACCCGAATAACCATCCAAAGTCAAGCAAACACAACAAACCTTGGTCGGAAGGGGGGGCGGGCGGAAGCAAACAATTACTGCTGAATCGTATTCAACAACAGGCAGCCCAGGTGATAGAAAAGAAATCACGAAGGGAATGAGAAAAGGGAACGATTGTAAACGCAGTATACTTTTCAGTAGAGTACAAATGCAAGAAAGAAGTAAAGAGGCAGCAGGAAGAAGGTCGTCGCACGGTATGCAAAGGGCAGCAGCCAATGGAGATGATGAGCAAAGAGACAGACGAACCAAAAGTAATAAACTCCGTGAGTGCAGAACGAAAGCGACACTGCTGAAGATTAAATGACTTTTGAGACGTCTCAAAAGTCAAATGTTTTGAGACGTCTCAAAGGTCATCGCACAGGGTGCAGATGGCAGCAGCTAATGGAGGTGATGGGCAAAGCAGACAGACGAATCAAAAGAGAAAACCTCAGTGAGCGCAGAACGAAGCGACGCATGCTGGAAGCTTAAGGTGTAACAATGTAATGACAGCAGGGCTGAACGTGAGAAAGATAGCAGACATGCGAGGGACCACGAGCACTTAAGAGCGGAAGTGAGAGGTTTTGAGGAAAAGTAGCAATGATGGTGGGGAGAGAAGGTGAGCAGGATGATGGTAATGGACAAGGACGATGATGCGTCAAGGCCACGAACGCAAGTAGCGGAAGTTCATGCTCCCACCTTGGTGGGATTGAATGCGGCTGTTTCTCGCATGCGTGGCATTGCAGAGTGGGCGTACCGATGTGGTGATGAGAGCATTGCTGTGGCCTGTCACTTAGCTGCTGAGTTCACTAAGTCACGCGAAGAGCATGAGAGAGACAATGGCGGCTATGATCCGACCAGCCTTACCTCAGCCTTGTTTCTAGGGTTTCGCAATTTCAAACGTCGTGCTAGAAGGCACAAACACTTGGATTTGAGCTCAGTTGGAGCTGGACACGCCGCCAAACGATCTGAAAACCTCAGTGAGCGCAGAACAGAACCGACGCATGCTGAGATTTGAGGGTGTACAACTATAATGACAGCAGGGATGAAATTCAAGGAGACTGAGAAAGATAGCAAAGGGAACAAAAAGATAGCGAAGGAACAAGGGGGATCAAGAGCGGAAGTGAGTAGGTTTGAGGGGAAGTAGCAACAATGGTGGGAGACCTGGTGAGCAGGACGACGGTAATGAACAAAGGAGACGATGCGTCAAGCCACGCAAGGCGCAAGGAACAGAAGTTCATGCTCCGCGGAAGGAGTGGAAGGTGGGGAGTGAATGCGGCTGTTTCTCGCATGCGTGGCATTGCAGAGTGACCGTACCCGATGTTGTGATGACAGCGTTGCTGTGGCCTGTGAGGAGAAGCGAAGGCGCTGCTAGGCTGCTGAGTTGACTAAGTCATGCGAAGAGCCTGAGAGAGACAATGGCGGCTATGAACGGACCAGCCTTACCTCAGGCTTGTTTCTAGGGTTTCGAAAATTGAAACGTCTGAGCACGCCAAACGATCTGTAGTGCCACGCGGCTGTGAATCTCACTCGAAAAATCTGAGATGACACGGAGCGAGCAGATAAGATGAAAAGGGAGAGGAGGAATTTCAGCCGGATAACTGATACGCTACGCGAATATGAATATCCGCTGGTAAGTACTGGTGAGTCGCGAATTGGTAGTGCTTCTGCGAGGACCAACAGGTGGACTTGACATTGCAAGTGTAGATGAATAACTTCCGCGCAGCGAATTGCCTTGAAATGGTCTTGGTCGAGAATCCTGATGCTGTGTTTCGAAAATGGTATTGTTTGGTAACCATACATCACATCATTCAAGGACGTGTGGTAACCAGTGCCGCAAAGACATCGAGCGCGTGAGCGAACGCGGAAGTTCCAGAATGCGACGGTCTTAGCGAAGGTAACATGAATTTTGCAAATTCCGTCTGGACACAAATTCCACGGCGCTGCGCATTTCGCGAACGAAATTGATGTTTTGCGAACAGCAGAATAGTAACATCTAAGAAACGTAGTGGAATCGACTCGAGGTTCAGTTGACACAACACCAACATCGTCCTCGACAGAAACATCCCCGCTTTTCACTGCCTAACGTAAGTAAATCTGAATTTAGTCGTTAGTTCTCTTCCCCCAACAGTGATGTGTGTCAGCAAGTACGGCCTCGCCGTGCACATTGGTTAGCCGCCTGTCGTCACGTGCCGCGAAGAAGAATGCATGTCAGTTCATCGAGCGCTGCGACTGGATCCGGTTTGCATGAAGTCACCCTCCCACTCCCCCACGAACGCGTATTGCCTGCGGCGATGTCGCCACGAGAAGCTTCGAGAATCCAATGTCCAATCAACCTTCCAGCACGGCGCGCCTGAGCACCAGCGATCGACGCCGGGTGAGGCGAAGGGCTGAAGGTGTTACTAGGAACTTCTTTATTATTCTTCCAATTTCTTCCTGTCAGTTGCTACCTTTGCCTAGTCTCAAGAGTACATCTTTCCGTGTGGCGTTGCTTCTTCTCAGTTTTTTAGAATCCTCTAATAATAGATTTGGCGTTGCTTCGTCTCTGAGCGTCTCTTTCCCTTTAGCCCCCTCTCACTAGAGCTTGTCAGCCTGTCTGCTGAGAAGTGCCTTGCTACCAACGGGCACGTCGCTGCTGCTCGTCGCTGCCACCTCCACACACCAGGAAGTACGCCGATTCTGTTGTCACTGCTCCCCCACCGCTGCCTCTCGTTTCCTCTACGTTCCCTGCCCACTTTTTCTAAGCGTGCTGCTCCTCCCCTTCCACCCCTGCCTTAGTTTAGCTGCTACTCACGCACTATGTAGTATGCCTTCTGTTCGTGTCATCTCTTTCCAGGATAGTTGCCTCTTATCGTTTCATAACCACTTCTTCCCATGTTTAATCCAACTCGCTCCGTGTATTTTACTGTCACCATATTTCTGTTTGTTTATCCTTGTCCTCCTCTCTTTCTGGCGAACCATTTTTTCCGTCCAAACTTCATAAGATTCATTCACGTTTTATCACCCGCTCTCCCAGTCGTGCAACCTTGTTTCCCCCTGTGTACATCACTGCCTTCCTCCCCCCATGCCTTTGATGTGTCATCCCTCCTTGTGCCTTTTTCCGAGTTTTGAGACAGTCTCAAAAGGCAAGCCCCCAGTCGTGCAACCTTGTTTCCCCCTGGCCCCCTGTGTACATCACTGCCTTCCTCTTCCCCTCCCATGCCTCCAATTGTTTCATCCCTCCATGCGCCTTTTTCCAAGTTTTGAGACAGTCTCAAAAGGCCAGCTCCCAGTCGTGCAACCTTGTTTCCCCCTGTGTACATCACTGCCTTCCTCTCCTCCTCTCCTCCCATGCCTCCGAGGTCCCATCCCTCCCAGTGCCTTCTTTCAAACACTGTCACCACTTCCTCAGCCACTCCTTCCCTCTATCGATTAGGACTTATCTCTGTTTCTTGTCTCCCAACCCCTCATTCTCGCCCTTAGAAGCTTTGCCCCACGGCTGATCTTCTTTATTGCTGGACATCCGTCTACCATCTCTCATTCCCATCCGCTCTCATCCACTCCCTTCAACACTCATCCTCTCCCTCACCATGCTGCAGCTACGTGGAATCTTCTCTCTGCTCCATAGCCCCATGCGAGCATGCCCCACCTCCCCATGTGACCATACCCCACCTCACATCGGGTTTCATTACTTCTTTGCAGGTTTTTCGGAATCCATGTGTAACTTTCTCCTGGTTGTTTCTCCCTCTCAACTCCATCTTACCTGACTGCGAACCTAACGTTCCTTTCAGGTGTCAACTGGTGCAGGTGGCGAGGCCCTATTGGTGGATACCTTGAGGAATTTTCTAAAACCCACCTATCGGAGACGAGTTGCTCTGGTGAGTGTGATGGTGATGAGTGTTAAGAAGGTTGAGGGAGGACTGGTACATTGGTGCAGCAGATTTTAGAGGAGAGGAGTGGCGTAAGGTGTACAGCACAAGCTAACGCTTTGCATTGTAAACGGTATAATATGTTGGGTAGAGATAGAAGAACGTGTCGAGATGGCCGAGTTGGTCTAAGGCGCTGGATTAAGGTTCCAGTCCGAAAGGGCGTGGGTTCAAATCCCACTCTCGACATGTTTTGCAATTCGATGTGCAAGTTATCAGCGCGTAGGCATGCTAGTATTCTGAGTAACATGATGCTCCAACCACTCTTGCCCCGCGCTCTCTCGCACGGCAGGTCTATCCCCTTTTCCTAAAAGCCTTTCTCCTGTTTCCACGCAGATGCAATTTCCGTATGTGTTCTCTTGCCTCTCCTCTCGTCTCCATCCGCTTCCCTCTCCCCTCTCCCCTCTCCCCTCTCCCGCCAACTTTCCGGCAGCTCAAGGCAGGGCGGCTCCTCAGTATCTCGGTCTTTTGTTTCAAATCTCTCCCCTCTTCCACCTGTCGCACCCCACAGCTCGAGAGAGGGCGTTTCCTCCTACCCCCCGGCCCACACCTCACAGCACGAGCCGGGGCAGTGTCTCACCTTTTACCCTCTTCTGTTTCAAGTCTCTCCCCTCTCGCCTCTCCCCTCTCCTCTCTTCCCTCTCCCCTCTCCCCTCACCCCTCTCCCCTTTCACACCTGTCCCACCCCACAGCACGAGCGAGGCTTCTTCTCACCTTTTACCCTCGTTTGTTTCGAAACTCTCCCCTCTCCCACCTCCCACCTCCTTTACTCCCTATCCCATCTCGCACCCCAAAGCATGAGACCGGGCTTCGTCTCACCTTTTACCCTCTTCTGTTTCACATCTCGTGGTAAGCATAGCTCGTTGGTGCGTCTGCACTTGCAAGGCTGCAGAAAAGGTATACGACAGGGAGTTCAGCATACCGCACCATGCGGTTGTGTGCGGTTCTCATCGGTAGGGAGCGAAATGGAATATAACGCGCGATGGCAACGCCATGTCAACAACCAGCTGGCGATTGGAACCGAGAGTGGCGAACGATGCGATTGATGGCAACAGATGGGATGGGCGTGCGGCGCGTATGGACGACGCGTGCCATGCATGGAGTGACATGCTTCTTTCACGTGCTCTCTCGTTCCTCCTCTTCCAAAGGAGACATTTCGGTTCAGACAGTTTTTTCCTTCTCCCCCTCCGCTCTTCCCTTGAGTCAAGCCAGCAAGTAACTACCAATTATCCACATCTTCCAGATACGCCTGCCAGTTGCCCCTTTCGCAAGAGTCGAGAGTATCTTTCCTCTCTGTGTGGCGTTGCTCCTTCTCAGGACCGTTCTCTCCCTTTCGCCCATACCTGCGGCGCTTGTCAATCTGTCTGCTGCGAAGCGCCTGGTTCCTAATCAGCGCCTCGCTGCTGGTTCCTAATCAGCGCCTCGCTGCTGGATCCCAATCAGCGCCTCGCTGCTGGTTCCTAATCAGCGCCTCGCTGCTGGTTCCTAATCAGCGCCTCGCTGCTGGTTCCTAATCAGCGCCTCGCTGCTGGTTCCTAATCAGCGCCTCGCTGCTGGTTCCTAATCAGCGCCTCGCTGCTGGTTCCTAATCAGCGCCTCGCTGCTGCCCTTGCACACACTAGGTACGCACACCCCATCCTGTTCTCTCAGTGATGCCCCACTCACAACATCTTCTTGCTCCCATCTGAATCACCTGCCACCTCCACCCACCAGGTACACACAGCCCTCCTGTTTTTCCCCACAGCTGCAACTCTTCCATCCCTCTGCGTTCCCTGCCTCTCTCATCCTCTCTCTCCTTCTCCTCCCTTTTCAACCCTGCCCTGTATCGTCACCACTCCCTTACATGGAGCGCAGCTAGACTTCATGGCGCAGTCATCCGAAGCAAGTGCGGGCATCTTACCGGGCCAGCCACTTATCTGTACTATCGGCCATTCCAATCGGACATGGGAAACCTTCATTGACCTACTTCAACGCAACCAGATTGTCCGGGTGATTGATGTGAGAACTCTACCGGGGTCACGCCATAATCCACAGTTCAATAAAGAGGCTCTCGAGACGTCCTTACCTTCAGTTCAGATTTCTTATACGCATCGTCCGGGCCTTGGGGGCCGGCGCAAAGCGCGGGCCAACTCTCCCAACACCGGTTGGCACAATCTTTCTTTTCGAGGTTACGCGGATTACATGCAATCGCCTGAGTTTGCCGAGAATGTTCAATGGGTTGCTGATTTAGCACGCGCTGAGCGTTGTGTGCTGATGTGCGCTGAAGCAGTGGCGTGGCGCTGCCATCGCTCGATGATTGGCGACGCGCTTCTTGTGCGGGGTATTCGGGTCGAAGATATCATTGGGCCGAAGGAACGTAAGCCACACGTTCTTACCGCCTTCGCCCGCGTTGACGGGATGGAAATCACTTATCCAGCATTATGAGTTTTAGCCGGCATTTCCCTAGCAGTGGCAGCACCAGTGGTGGCAGCAGAGGCAGCGGCAGCGGTGACGGCAGCAGTGGCGGCGGCGGCAGCAGTGGCAACAGCAGTGGCTGCGGCAGCAGCGGCAGCAGCGGCGGCAGCAGCGGCAGCAGCGGCGGCAGCAGCGGCGGCAGCAGCGGCGGCAGCAGCAGTAGCAGCAGCAGCGGCGGCAGCAGCAGCAGCGGCGGCAGCAGCAGCAGCAGCGGCGGCAGCAGCAGCGGCGGCAGCAGCAGCAGCGGCGGCAGCAGCAGCAGCAGAAGCAGCAGCAGCAGCGGTGGCAGCAGCAGTGGTGGCAGCGGTGGCAGCAGCAGTGGTGGCAGCGGTGGCAGCAGCAATGGCAGCAGCAGCAGCAGCGGGTGGTGGTTGAGATCAGGAGTGAGTAGTGTCTCGCATGGCTGCAGGAGGGGAGCTGCAGAAGAAATGCCAGGCTGTTTGGGTGCAGGGTGTACAAGTATCTTCAAGAGGAGAGAGGGTACATTAGCTGATAGGCAAGGAGTGGAAGTGTGTGCAAGTAGGTGGCTGGACAAGGCCTTGCTTGTAAACAGCCTAGGGTAGAATAGTAATTTGTGAACTTGCTTGCTTGCGCCCTGTCCTGAACTGAGGCTGAACTACTGATAGTTCTGCTGGCTGACTTTGGATGCAAGCTTGTGTACGCCACACTTGATTCTGTTGTGAAATATGAAATGCCGCAGGCACGTGGCAGCACACCCGCAGGCACGTGGCAGCACACCCGCAGGCACATGGCAGCATACATTCTATGCGTGCAGGTGGCTTCACATCTGAGGTGGCTTCACATCTGAGGTGGCTTCACATCTGAGGTGGCTTCACATCTGAGGTGGCTTCACATCTGAGGTGGCTTCACATCTGAGGTGGCTTCACATCTGAGGTGGCTTCACATCTGAGGTGGCTTCACATCTGAGGTGGCTTCACATCTGAGGTGGCTTCACATCTGAGGTGGCTTCACATCTGAGGTGGCTTCACATCTGATTGCAGGCAGGGCCAAGTGCCGACGCGGAGGTGAGTGATGCCTAGTACGGTATGCAGAGAAATCTGAACATTATTATCAACCTCTCTCTCGTCCTCCATCCATTGATGTTGCTGCCATGCCTACCAACTTTTGCTCCCTCGCCCCCTCCCCACCCAATATGGTGCTTGTGGCTCTGGTTTGCCTTGATGGAATAATAGCTGTTTGCACCGCTTCCCCCCAAATGTCAACATCAGCTTTCTTCCACTCCCACCTCCTCGCTCATCAGTAAGCCTCTACCTCCTTCACACTCTCCCCCTCACTTCCTTCCCCTTTCCACACCAACAGCACCAACAGCGTCTGTGGTATGGAGAAGAGGAGGCGGCGGGGGTGGCTGGGGCTGGCCGCTGGTATGTGCGTTGGTATGTGCGTTGGTATGTGCGTTGGTATGTGCGTTGGTATGTGTGTTGGAAAAAGGAGGGCAATGGGGTGGACCGGATGGTCATCACCATGAGGATGCTCGACAGGCTGGGTGGGTGTCATCTGCGACATGGTGGTAGAGATGTATGGGCAGTACGAGCAAGGAGATGTCCTGGGCGGTACATATACTTACTCCACATCCATATCTAGGATATGGAATAAGGAGTACGACGTGGTGTTCACAGTGGGTGTGGCTTGTGCTTTACAGTCACTTGGAAAGTGTTTGTAATCTGCTTAGGGCGGAGGGAGGTGGTGCGGGACGCTAGGAGTACGTACGACTTCGTGTGCTGGTGAGTTTACGTAGGCCTCGTGGATGAACTTGTGCGTTTCGACAGCTTCCATGGTGTTTCGCATTGATGGGGCCCGTGTTTTGTTGTCATGTGAGGCCTCCCTCCTTTGCAGCTTCACCCTTGCAGGCCTTGTATGGTGCTTCTTTGGTGCGACTTTTGAGAATTCTTAGAAGTCGCACCAGTATCCCTTTCAGGCCTAGTATGGTGCTTCTGCCACTCGATCTCTGACAAGGCAGAATCAATTTGAGCACTGCCTTCCCATATGCAACGCCAGCATCACATATCCTCCACTCCCCTCTTCTCACCCAGTGGTATACCCCTCTTCTTTCCATCCCCCCCCCAGCCCTCCCCAGCACACCAACAGCATCTGCCTTGTATGAAGGAGCCCAGCTCGTGGCTGCAACACAAAGCCTGGCGACAATCAGGCGGCTGGCGAGCTGCAGCAGCATCAGTGGTGGCGGTGAAGGCGGTCAGCGGGGAGTGGGTGGAGACAGGCTAGGAGGGAGCCCAACTCATCGCTGTGACATACAGCCGGGCGGCATGGCAGGGTTGTGGGATGCAACAATGTTGCAGCGGCAGTGGTGGTGGTGAGTTCTGTCAGCCATGGGTGGGGTGGAGGCAGGTGAGTAGGGAGCCCAACTCGTTTCCTCCATGACACACAGCCGGGCGGCATGGCAGGGTTGTGGGATGCAGCAGCAGTGGTAGTGGTGAAGTCAGTTAGCGGGTGGCGGGTGGAGGAAGAGGGGGATGAGCACAGCTCATCGCTGGAACACACAATGGGGCAGGACGGATCCCAACTCATATCCATAACACACAACAGGGCAACAGGAGTCATGGAAAGCAGCAGCAGTGGTGGCGGTGCAGTGAAATCGGTCACCTGCCTGCATGTACTCGCGTGAGCAGCCCAGCCCACCTCTGTGACACACCAGCCAGGCAGCATGGCAGGGCCATGGGATGCAGCAGCAGTGGTGGCGGTGAAGCTGGTGAGTCATGAGTATGGTGGAGGCGGGGAGGAGGGAAGGTAGGGAGGCTGACCCATGGGAGGGAGGGAGGGCAGTATGAGCAGCAGGGGCCATGGATATGAGGTAGTAGATGGCTTTTCAGTTGATGACAGGCAGGGCGACGTGCACAATGAGGCGTGGAGTTGGGGAGAGAAAAGAGAGGTAGCAAAAGCTAGCTGCACTTCGGTGGGTGCAATAGTTTCATGTTACTCACACGGGCTTTTAGGCTCGCAGGTACAAGCACATGGCGTGACTGAAGGTGCGTGTAAGTATTGGAGAGAAGGTGCAACTGCAGCTCAACGTAGTGGAGAGAGTGACATTGGACTAATACATTGGCTCGAGATAGCAACGTCCGAAGAATCGCAAAACGATGTACCGGTACATGTGCACTTGGTTTTCAGAATACTGAATTGGTACATGCTGTTTCACCAGCATATATTGGTACATGCTGGCGACAGGTCTTGAGGTCATCCATGTTCCGTCCAGCCCCACAAAGCAGCAGCACCATTTCTATCGCTCCCTCAGGCATCAACTCTCTCTCCATCCCGTATCACCTACACCACAACCGCCTGATAAACAATCTCCCACTTTCCCCCTCCACACCCCACACCCCCTCCTGTGCTGTGTAGTTTTACATATCCCCTTTATCACTTAACTATCCCCTCCCCCTCCAGAAAACCTCAACCCCCTCCATACACTTCTCCCCCTCCTAGAAGGTTGGTTGTTGGTGGCAGCAGAGGCGATGTATGCACTCCAACCGCCTTTTAAGAATCTTTACGCGTACCCCTCTTCGATCCCACCTTCTCTTCCCCTGCCGTCGCCCTATCCGCCCCCAGCTGCATCTGTCAGGCGCCTTGCCATGATGTAATATCTAACAAAACCAACAAAGGATGAGACCAAGCATGGAGGGAGGTGAGGCTGGTGGCGACAGGAGTGGCTGGAGTGGGATAATTAGCACGCCAACCTGAAAGTTCTACAGCTTATGGGGGGGGGGGGGATGCTTTGCATGTCAACATGAGCTGCCATGTCAGTATTTTAGTTGGAGTGTTGGGGCAGCAGTGCAAGCACACCTCAACCCATGCCATATTGCTAGGACAGATCCAATCGCTTATCACTACCCTACCATTCTCTCATGCCTGCCCTTCCCCATGCCTGTCCTTCACCCATCCCTGCCCTTCACCCATGCCTGCCTTTCAGTCAGTTCCAGCATACCCACTCGAGCTCCGAGGGACGCGATGAGGGTACTACACAACAGTAGAAGTCGAGTCAGGGGCAGAAACAAGCAGGGTGGGGGTTGTATTAAGTGGGTAGAATGGTGGGGGTGCAGTGAGGGGATGCAGCTGCAATAGCCTTGGTCTGATCTTTCTGTGCTGAATACATGGCTGCAATGTGGTGAGTGTTGGTGACACTCAACGACCTCAGAGGAAAGGAGAGGAGAGCGACCAGCCTGCACCTCTGCAGCGCACGCTGAGACAATGTCCTTTGAAAAAACATATACGTCACATGCCAGTCTTCATTGCCGGCATGCCTCAGAGGAAAGGAGAGGAGGGCGACCAGCCTGCTCCTCTGAGCCAGCAGTTTGCACTGCACACTGAGGAGCAGAATGAAACTTACCGGTAGTTGATCTCTTGATCTCCTACCGTTTGTTCATCCTGTATGCCGGCCGGTGTATTTGCTACCGTATATGGCGTTGGTTGGGTGATGCAGCAGCACAAGCGACCTCACGGCTTTCTCATGCAGGAAAGGACAGTTGTGTGCTACTCCTCTGCCCTTTGTCCCATGCATGAAGCACTTCCAGGCTGCCACTCAGCCTAACCAACCATATGCCCTCTATGAAGCTGCAGCACACTTGTGCATGCCTGCTTCATTGCAAGCTTCTACAACAGCCACTACAACGAATCAAACACTCCTTTTTTCATTTCAGTATAGGTGGATGGTGAAAGTTCTGTTCTTACAACATTCAGAGTTGACGGCACACAAAAAAAAGGATCAAGGACTTGCTTGCAGAATCGTTCTCCTACTCTAAAATGTATAATTTTGCTGGTTTGCCAGTGTTGGGAATTCTCACACATAACTTAGTGCGTTTCTGTAGTATCGAACCTCACCCGATACTGAAGCACAACAAAAGGAGTATGAAGTCGAAAAGGCGCGTACCGCATCAAACCGCAACTGGAGGTTGCGAGCTGTAACCGCCTGGAGGTTACGCAACAGCAGGCGACGCTTTAGTGAACAGTAACCGCCTCGATAGTCGAAGCGTTACGCGTCTCGATAAACATAACCGCTTCCTGTAATCTATCTTTTCTATATATTCCTGTATGCTCTTTGCTTTAATCAATTGCTTGTTCTCACATACCAGCACAAGTACATTCACTCAAGACTTCCGCTGTGCTACTCTAGCACCTACTAGCCTATTCTCTGCAAAGATCCTAAGGCTGAAATCCTCAGCCTAACATGGTATGAGAGCAGTCAGAGAACAAAGGCTCTCGTCACTAAGCCTCTTCCAGGCTACCGATCTGCAAGCAACCAAGAAGTTCAATCTTTATTCAAGAAAGGCAAGACATGGCAAGTGGCAAAGAAAGAAGATCATCCACGGGATCTACTCTACCCCCGGTCTCCGAGTTGCAGACCGAAGGAGGAACAACGCCCGGATTAACGCCGGAAGCGACGGAACGTTCTACTCAAGCGCCAGTAGCGCCACCAACAATCTTCAACCCAAGCTTAATGGAGGAGTTCTTCAACTTCATGTCGCAGCAGCAGTCCTCACAACCTGCAAACAGCAACAGCGTAAACAACGGAGCGGCACCAATGAGTATTGACAACTCATCGTTCGGACGACATAATCAACAAACACCAAATTCGGTCTCACCTGGTTCCTTCACGTTCATGCCGCCCCGCCATCCAGCGACTCCTCTTCCCGCCATCAAACGAGACACCGAAGAAGTCCTGCAAGTACAAGCACAGTTCAACAACATCCTGCGACTGCACACATCCACACCATTCAACGGGAAGGACTTCTACTCTTGGAGCTTCGAGTTTGAACTCTTGATGGAAGGCGCGAATCTCCTTGGATTCTTCAACGGTACCTGGCCATATCCACACAACGGCGAAGACAAAGACAAAGAAAATTATACGTATCACTCCCTGATGGCTTATACCGTTCTTCTCCGAAACCTGTCGCCGAACGAACAACAAAGCATCCGCGCCTACCGGAACTACGCAAACTCTGCGGAACTCGCTTATCAGCATCTGCGAAGCATCCATCAAGCATCCGACAGCGTTACACAAAGCCGACTCATGGCACAACTGACAACAGTTCAAATGCAACCTGGAGAAAAGGCCATGCCTTACATCAGTCGCTGTCAAGGACTACGTGACAGAGTCATTCGCTGCGGAGGAAACTTATCTGAAGAAGCTTTCGTAACCGTCGTTCTTGCCGGCCTTGGACCTCAATGGCGCACCACCCGCTCACTTCTTCGCGCTCACGGTCGACTCTCCGAAATGCATCTCTGCGCCGAACTTCACGCCGAGCAGCAGGAAATGGACCTGTTCGAAGAACGCAACAACAAAAGGCATCATCAACCAGTTGTTCTTTACACCAATCGACGACAGCCACGTTACCAAAACCGAGGACACGTACCTCCTTATTGTCATCTGTGTCGGACTTCAGGGCATACACGCTTCAACTGCCCTCAGCATCAACGACAACCAGCACCATTCTCTCGTCCTCTGCGACCCGCGCCTCCTCACATCGCGTCAACTCAACAACGATCCGCGACCGTCTCAACGACCACTTCAACACGACCATCAACTTCCACTTTGGGACCTGCACAAACATCAAGAATCGTCGCCATGGCACGAACAACAGAGTCAAACATCGACTCGTGTATTACCGGCTCCCCACCGACTTACAGTCCTGACGAGCAACCGTCACCACCACCGTCGTCCCTTAACGTGAATCCAACGTACGCCGCCATCGCAAACAGAGCACCCACCGGACCAGACACATGGTTCCTCGACAGCTGCTGTGGTCATCACATGTGCTCCTCATCACGATTTCTTCAGCGTGAACGACGCCTTCCGCGAGACGTCATCATCACCGTCGCCAACAACGAAAACCTGCGCACCAACAAACAAGGAGTTGTGGAGCTTCAGTCAAACGAAACAAACGTGATCCTTCAACTAAACAAAGTACTCGTCGTCGACAACCTCGGCTTCAACTTACTGAGCGTCAGCCAACTCATGCCGAAAGGCGTTCACCTGGAGTGCGACTCCGACGCCCTGGAAATCCGTCTTTACCACGGAAAGGGGGGGGTTTTCATCGGCCGCGCAATCCAACAAGACGACGTGTTCGTCCTCGATTTCGTCCTCGACAAAGGCACCGCCGACAGCGACGGCATAGTCGCTCTCGCACCCTGGACGCATCCGCCAGACCTCGACCCGAACTTCAGTCCTGAAGGCTTCCGGTACTCTCGTACCATTCCCGAAGCTGAACGCACCA